TGAGTTGTGAGTAGGAGATGTGAAGGAGAAGTAAAGGCAAGAGAAATTAGCATTCCAAGTTCTCTAGCTGGGGAACTAGAAAAAAGAACAGGGCAATTTAAATGTTCATAAGAGAGTCCATTGGAATTTCTTGACAAGGGCTTCCAAAAGGATCCCTCTATTAGGTTCCTCAATTTTCTTTTGTCTTCCAAGGCTGGACTCTACAGTGAGTGATGGATTCAGGATTTGCTTTCAGGTATTTTGATAGCTGTTAGTAGTTAGAATCAGTGTCAGTTCCCTCTCAAAGGCTTCTGGATAGGGGAAGAAAACAAATTTATCCATCATTTTAAAACAATAGCTGATTATCTTCCTTAGCTACAGTTGGGCACTACAGTATTGGAGATCAAGATTTGAAGTCTTACGTCTGAGCATCACTTTCTGGTTAGGAATAAAATCATAAATGAGAAATAGTTATCTAAATAGCTTTTTATATGGACTTAAGTCTAATGTCTAGGAAGTGTAATCCCTTGAACTCTTAAAGGAATATACTGATGACTTTACTCTGATTATACTTTCCTTTTTGGTGTTACTTTTTAATTACATCTGACCCACAGAATAGAGGATAGTTAGAATTCACAGGAAAAATAAGATGGAGCTCCTTAAAGATAATAGACTTTGGGGGTTGGGGGCTGGAGAGATGGCTCAGCAGTTAAGAGCACTGGCTGCTATTGCAGAGCCTTGGATTTGATTCCCAACATCTACATAATGGCTAACAATCATCAGTAACTCCAGTTCCAGGGGATCCAACACCTTCTTCTGACTTCTGCAGGTACTGCACAACATGGATGCACTTAACACATGCAAGCAATACATTCATACACATAAAATAAATTAAAAATAAAATTTTAAAAAGGTAATAGAAATTTGGTCTAAGATAAATAGAATTTTAGACTTTGGGGAAATAGGCAGGGCATTTATAAGAGAACAGAACAGTAATGGGCATTTTGTGGAAGAACAACATGAATTTAATGAATAGATTACAGTGGGAGTTAGCAAAGGCAAATGAACTTGGAGTAAGATGTGAAAGATCTTAGAAAGAGTCTGAGTAATTTGGATTTTTTAGAAGCATGTAATATTTTCACAGTTCTGAGTGAAATATACAAGCATGTTTTTAGTGTGTTATGTGTTTCCTTCTTATTTGTTTCCAGAAGTGGCTTGAGAGAAGGTGAAATAGTATTGTCATGAAGTATACTATGAATCTTTTCCCAGGATTTTAATGTAAGGCCCTCTTTAGGGAAATTTATAATAATTATCAATAATACTATATATACTGTCTGAATAAATCTAGAAATTTGTACATATTTCTCTGACAAGAGAGCCCCAATAATATAGAAGAATAATTTATAGTGGTCCATTTAAAAGTTGAAGAGGATAAATATGAAGTCTCTTATAATGATAACAAAAGAAAATTTAGATATTCCAATTAAGTAGCAAAAATGTATTTAAAACATAGATAATAATGTGCTGCTAATATTGACCATTTTAAGCTTTTTGGGCCCCAAGTAAATTACTGGAATGAAAAAGGCTGTGAACTCATGTATAGTTGCTATGACAACTGACTTGCAGTTATGACAAAATACCAAAAAGAAGCAGATTTAGGATGGATCCTCCCACATGAGTTTATAATCAATTGTAAAATACCCTTAAGTCCACCAGTTGTCAAGTTGATATTCAAACATCAGTTTTAAGCTATAACCTTCCACTTTTGTCCCCACCGGCTTAAGGTTATCTCATAATACTAAAGGCATTCAGCCCATCTCTAAAACCACCACAGCCTTTGACAGTTCCAACACTATTAAAAATGTAAGTGCAGACTCTCTTCTGAAATTCAGGCAGTCTTTTACCTATGAGCCCCTATAACATCAAAAAGAAGGCATATGCTTCCAATATACAATGTGACACAGAGTAAATATTCCTATCCCCCAAACAGAGGAATAGGATTCTAGCAAGGAGAGGCTAGACCAAAGCATCACCAAAACACAGCAGGGAAAGACCCCAAATCTTCCAGCTCCATGTCCAGCATCAGGAGCTTTTGAGGGAATCGTCTGGGCTCTAGAGCATTTAGGTATCCCTGAGCCTCTAGCTCTGCTGCCTGAAGCATACATACCGTCTCTCGACCTACTTCATTCCATGCGTTCAGCTTTCCTTAGCAGATATCCCATTGTCCCAGCACCTCTAGCACACTTGAGTCTCCTTTGCAGCTTACCTTCATCTTTACAGTTTCATGAGATGGCCTCTCAGAACCTCCTTGCAGGGACTCTGTTACAGATTGCTCTTGTTCCAGTGGCTCGAGGAACCATAGTATAATACTCCATGACCTCCTCAGTCTTGCATGCTTCATGCCTGCAAACACCAATGCATGAATGATGCTGCCAGATCTTCCCACCAGCTCAAGATACAGCCTGACTCCCAGGGCCACAGTTGCTTTGATCTTTGTGTGCTTTCCAGTCTGAGCCTGGAGAAACACGTTCCTAGGTGGGTGATCTTGAGCAGGGAATCCCTTCAGCAGTATTCTCAGTGTAAGGCTGTCAATCTTCAAATGAATTTGAATTTTCACAAGATGGAGACTTCAGTTGGTGGGGTCTTGTCCTCAGGGCACCTTTCCTCTTCTTGGGCATAGTGAAATGTTTCTGTTTAATGGGACTAATCTCTTTAACATTTGCTGGTGACTTGTCATCTGCATCCTCCTTGTCTAAAACTTTGAACTTGCTCACATGCCTGTCCTCACCAAACTTCACATTTTAAAATCTTTCTTCTCTACCATTTGCTCTCCCTCACCAGAGACTTGGATAACAGTGATGAACCAGTAGTTATAGCTCAGCCTGAATGTTATTCTGTCTTGAAATTTCCTCTACCAAACAAATTAGTCCATTACCTTTCCATTCAACCTCTCTCAAGTTCTCAGGACAAAGGCAGCATGCAGCCAGATTCTTTGTCTATCATTAGAGTGTTCCTTAGCCCAGCTCTTGCTGGAGCCCTTAGTCCCCTCTGAAACCTTATAAGCCAAGTTTCAAATGACTACATTTCACTCAACATTCTTATTTTCCAAACTCTAACCAAAATGACCCATTAAGCTCTGCTTGTAGCATTCTAGGGCTTTTCTAGCCTAAACCTTCAAAGTGTTCCATATTCCTTATATAAACCAGTTCCAAAGGCCTAAGAAGTATATGGTCAGGCTTATCACAGCAATGGTCCCACTTTCAGTATCTGTATTAGTCACTTTTCTCATTGCTCTAACAAAATATCTGACAAGAAGCAACTTAAAGGGCGAAGGGTTTATTTTGCTTATATTTGAGGGGGATGAAGCTCATCATGGTAGGGAAAATATGGTGGCAGGTGTGGGATGCCAACTGGTCACATTGTATCAATGCTCAAAAAGTAGACAGCTCTTTCTCCTTATGTCCTCTGGGACCCCTGCCCCTGGAGTAGTATCACTCACATTTAACATGGGTCTTCTCACCTCTTTTAATCTAATCTAGGAAATCCATCACAGACATGGCCAGAGAATTGTCTCCAAAAATGATTCTGTCAAGTCACAACCCCAATCTTAAAATGTAACTCAGTGTTTATTCTCTTTTCTTTTCTTTGTGGTGTGGACTTTTTTTCTTTTATGCAAGTTTTACTGAGAAGAAAAGAGGCAAATAAACAGTAGGAGACTATCTAACAAGAAGATGAGTTCTTTCCACAAGAGGTATAATAAGTTTTTTAATCCTTTGTATTAAAAAAACCCAGAAAAATGTAAAAGAAAGTTATAAGATACTATGAATTGTTCCCCATAGGATCATGTTATGAATGCTCAGTCCCCAGCTTGTGGTACTGTTTTGAAGTTTGTGGAGTCTTTAGGATATATGACCCAGCGGGTAGAAGTGGATCACTAGGGTGAACCTTTGAAGCTGTTCCCAGTTTTGGCTTCAGCCTGTTTTCTCTGCTTCTGGTCCACAACAAGTGAAGATCTGCTGCCACACTCAGAAGTTCTTCCTACATCACGCCTTCCCTGCCATGACAGGTTGAAATCCCTCTGAAACCGTGAGACAAAATAACCTTTTCTTCCTTTAAGTTGTGACTCTCAGGTGTTTGGTTATGGCAATGGGAAAGTAGCTAATACATAAGAAATATGAGTATGGGAGAATGAAAAGATCCAGGATGAATGATTTATATCTAGAGAGACTGCAAAAATACAGGTGGAAAGAACAGTCAGACATTACCAGGTTCATTTTAATGCTGTACCATCATTTGATAATGCCTGACAACTGGTCCAGACTGTCTTCAATCTGCTACTTATGGGCCTACTCATTGTTCTGTAAATAAACATAATGTATCATTTGTACCAGGGTGTGAACAAAAGTTCCCAGCTGCCACACTCAGAAGTTCTTCCTACACCACGCCTTCCCTGCCATGACAGGTTGAAATCCCTCTGAAACCGTGAGACAAAATAACCTTTTCTTCCTTTAAGTTGTGACTCTCAGGTGTTTGGTTATGGCAATGGGAAAGTAGCTAATACATAAGAAATATGAGTATGGGAGAATGAAAAGATCCAGGATGAATGATTTATATCTAGAGAGACTGCAAAAATACAGGTGGAAAGAACAGTCAGACATTACCAGGTTCATTTTAATGCTGTACCATCATTTGATAATGCCTGACAACTGGTCCAGACTGTCTTCAATCTGCTACTTATGGGCCTACTCATTGTTCTGTAAATAAACATAATGTATCATTTGTACCAGGGTGTGAACAAAAGTTCCCAGAAAATCCTGCACCTTGAGCTGGACTTCCTGCAAGGCTGACCAACTGATTAACACTTCATGACTGTGGAGAGTTTGGAATGTTGCAGATCCAGAGACTATTCATAAATTATCTTGGAACATCTTTAGCCTCCTAAATAGCCTCGCCTTGACCACCAGTTTCTGATAGTAACATCTTTTGACTAATAGAACGTATTGGCTTACAAAGAAACAGTTCCATTCCCACCAATCAAAAAGCTAAGAATGTCATCAGATAGCATCTGAGACCTACAGTAGAATTATGACCTACCTGCTGAATGTACCCACGAACGTATTTGAAATATGTCTTGACTTATGACTTTTCTTTGTTCTGTCACTATTAAAACTTCATGAAACTGCTTCCACACTGAAACATGGAATTTGGGATCACCTGAATCTGTGTTCCTGGGCCAGGGTCACTCATATTTGGCACCAGGATAAACTATCCCCTTTCAGGCGAGAGTTATGTTCTTGGGTCGACAGGGGCTCAGTAACTTAGAGTACTCCAGGAGTCAATAGCCAGCTTTTGTATTGGCCCAATTATGACCTGAGTCACTGTACATATGACTAGTCATGACAGCAGCATAATGTTCAGCCATGTAGACCAGTTGAAACACCCAAAGGCTCTGATCATCCAGTGTTAGTAGAGTCAAAAGGAAAATAAAGACTTTCTCCTATCATGAGTGACAGACCATATTGAGGGTTTCACTTGAGTTGTAACTGAGCAAAAGCAATCATTATGCATTTATTAAAAAATCAAATTATTGCCAGACATGGTAGTGCATGCCTTTTATCCCAGCACTTGGGAGGCAGAGGCAGGTGGATCTCTGTGAGTTCGAGGCTAGCCTAGTCTACATAGCAAGTTCCATGCCAACTGCTGGAACTACAAGGAAACCCTGTCTCAAAAGGACAAATAAAATAAAATAAAATAAAATAAAACTAAATTATTTAACGGGCTTAGAAATGATTCTTTGGTATATTGTAAAATTGAGCCTTCAAGTACTTAGGAACAGAGCCTGAAAAGCTAGAAGCAATGTGTGTCTGGCACTTGGCTGCTTCATAATATTACTGGAATTTTAGAGTGAATGTTCCAGCCCCAGGAGTCCCAACAGACTAAGCTTGGCCACCCATCCAGTATGTTACCCAAAGTAATGAACAGTGAAGTAAAGGAAAGAAGTTTCAATCAGTATGGCTACAATAGATAGAGACAAAGAGCTTCAGTGATCCCAGATCTGTCTTTGAGGGACTAACAGGGGCTTTGAGGTTTTGTACAGGGGACCAAAGGCAAGGGTTAGGGATTTGTATTAACTGGGGGATTTGCATAATTGACAAAGCAGATAATCTTGGTCAGAACTGATCTGGTTGACCATTGTCTCAGGACTACTTTTACAAAGACTTACAGAAGAAATCCTCATTGCTTGAGGGGACTCTTCAGTTCCCCCCATTGGTTTGCTCTGGGATGATCTCATCTCAGGGCAATGTGTTCTGGGAAGTGCTTTCTGTTAGTGGTATGTTCAGTCCCTTGTCATAAATGTGTTTATCAACTAGGCCTATCATTCCAAGAATCCAATTTATTTGCAAAAAAGAGTGACTCAGAAGAGGGAGGGGGAAGTAGGTGCAAAATGGAGCTGGGTAGGCCAGTGACTGAGCCCTCCTCCAATACTGGATCTTTATGTTAATCTCTTATAAAATATCTTTTCTGTTTTATTATTTATTTCACCTGCAACCCCAATATAAGCATTGCCAGGATCTCTCTCTGGCCTCCCCTTGGCTGGCTGCTTGGTCCTTGTGATCTGTTTTGAAAGAATTCAGGTGTGACACACAGTATAGACTACAGGAAAGATTTATTACAAGTAACATGAAATGATCCCAGATGCTGATCTACATGTTTAGATAGACTTATTAGTAGTAATATTATTAGTTTAGATTTTTGAGATAGAATTTCAAGTAGGCCTTGAACTCCTGATCCTCCTGTCTCTGCTAACCAAGTGCTGGGATTATAGATGTGTGTCACATCTAGAGGTTTTGTACTATATTCTAAAGTGTCTGCAACAGACAGCTTCCTGAAGTCTGCTTTCCTGTCCAGGTGATTGACAGGCCCATTTGGATTAGCTGGTGAGGGGGGCAGGATGACAATGGTACTCTTTGTTCTTTATCAGAAAGGCTCATGCTAGATAGTAATCTTACGACCTTCCTGGCAGTTCAGAAAGCTGTCTCCACCCAAGGCCAGGGATATAACTCAGATCCCAGTCTTTTGACCAACAATTATGAAATAGAGCAAATTAAAAATTAAAGACAAAGGGACTGGAGAATTGGTTCAGCGGTTAAGAACACTAGCTGATCTTGCATAGGGTCTGGGTTCAGTTTGCAGAACCCATGTAGTGATTAAAAACAGTAACTCCAGTTCCAGGGGATTCAACACCCTCTCCCGGGTTCTGCAAACATTAACAAAATGGGTGCACTTATATACATGCAGACAAAACACTCATGCACAAAAAATAAACAAAAAAAAAATTAGAGACAGAAAAAAATAAAAATAAAAATATAGCAAGGGCCGTGCTTTATTAGTAGGAAATAGCCTCCCCTTAATGACTGTATTAACTACTTTTCTGTTGCTGTGAGAGAAACATTGACCAAAGCAGCTTATAGAAGGAAGAATTTATTTGTGCTTAGGATTCCAAGGGAATTACAGCCCATCATGGTGAGGAGACATGGTGGCTGGAGGTGGCTGGAGCAGGAGCAGAAAGCAGAGGCTCACATCTTCAAGCAGGCATAGGTAGCGGGAGAGTGACTCGAATCCTCAAGGCTTAAGAACTCTCTAAGACTGCCCCCAGTGACATGCTTTCTCCACACCTTTTAAGGCCTCTCAAAACAGCACCACTAACTGGAGGCAAAATGTCCAAATACTTGGAGGCTTATGGGGGACAATATCATTCAGTCTATCACAGTTATTCTCAAAAAGCCCTGCTCCGTCCATATTGGGCTTAGAAGAAATAAAGTATTTCAAAGTAACTTTCATAAATAGTTGAAACTACAAAGAAAATTATTTATTTATTTATTTATTTATTTATTTATTTATTGACAGGGTCTCACTATGTATCCCTGGCTGGCTCAGAACTCACTATGTAAACCAGGATGGCCTCAAACTCATAAGGATCAACCTTTCTCTGGCTGCCTTGTCCTGGGATCAAAGGTGTGCACTAGCACTCCCAGAAAATTTTTTTTTATATAAGTTTCAAAGTACTAACAAAACTCCAATGAATAAAATAAATGTAGGCAGATGATGTCTCACTGAATATAGAATGCAAATAAGGAGATATAAAATAGGAATTATAAAATTAAAAGGTAAAACTGAACTAAAAAAACTTACAAGAGGAACTGAGCAACAGATTTGAACTGTCATAAGAAAATATTAGTGGTCTTGAAGATGGATCAACAGAGATTAACCAGTGTGGGGAACAGAAAGCAAAGAAGAAGAAGAGGAAGAAGAAGAAGAAGAAGAAGAAGAAGAAGAAGAAGAAGAAGAAGAAGAGGAAGAGGAAGAGGAAGAGGAAGAGGAAGAGGAAGAGGAAGAGGAAGAGGAAGAGGAAGAGGAAGAGGAGGAATAAGAAGGGGAAGAAGAGGAAAGAAGAAGAAGAGGAAGAGGAAGAGGAAGAGGAAGAGGAAGAGGAGGAGGAATAAGAAGGGGAAGAAGAGGAAAGAGAGAGAGAGAGAGCAAGAGAGAGAGAGAGAAGGAGGGGATGAAGGTATACCGGTGTAGTCATAATGAGAAGTACAGAAGAGAGGAGCGACAGTAAGAACAAGGGAAGTATGTTTGAAGATTTCATATCTGAAAACTTTTAAAATAGGATGAAAAATATTAGAATTGGATATTAGAATTCATATGTTAAAAGCTCAGTGAACTCCAACAAGGCTAAAACTAGTGCTACCCACACCTTAACTCAAAGTCAAACTGTTAAAAACCTAAGAAAAAGGAGCATAATGAAAGTAGCAAAAATACTCAACCTGTACAGGCTTCTTAAGGCTGATAGCTGACTGCTCATGAGATACCATGAAGATCAGAGTAGAGTAGAATATTATATCCAAACTGCTAAACAAAAAACATTTAACCATAACCAACAAAATTATCCATAAGGGTGGAGAAACAAGTAATTTAGATGTCCCTAGGTACAGAATTTATGGGAGAATTCAATGCCAGCAGTCCTGTTCTATAAGGAATGCTAAAGGAGTCCTTCATTCTAAAAAGACACTGGACAACAATAAAGAAAATCACGTATGCTGGGCACGGTAGTTCACACCTTTAATTCCACTATTCAGGAATCAGAGGCAGAGGCAGGCAGATCTCTGTGAGTTTGAGGCTAGCTTGGTCTATATATAATGAGTTGCTGGCCAGTCAGAGCTATGTAGTGAGACTCTGTCCTAAAAAAAGAAAGAAAAAGACCATTACTAAAAATAAATACATGTATAACTGTAAAAGGGAATAAGATATGTTTTTATTTCTAACTCTCTTATCACATTTATAGGACAACCAGTGGCACAGGAGCATGGCACATGTCTGGAATCCCAGCACTTGTGAAGTAGAGGCAAAAGGATCATTCATATGTTGGAGGCTAGAATGAGTTATTTGGTAAGTTCTAGGCCTCCTGAGCTATTAATGAGGACATGTCTTAAAAATCAAAACAAAAAGCAAGTTTATAGGATAGTGATTATTAACCTGTTGATGGGCTTAAATTAATAAACTATAATTAATATGGCAATAATAGCATGAAAACGGAGAGGAGAAACAGTGTAAAATGAACAGGGGTGAGTTTTCATGTGAGCAAAGATTTTGTATGTTACTAGCTTGAACTAGATTATTTTAAGTTAAAATGTTAATTGTAATTTACAGGACAACTATGAGAATAGGTTTTTAAATGTACAAAAGTAACAAAGGAATTATTATGATATACTAGAAAATATCAGCTTAACAAAACATGAGGCACTATGTGGAAACACAGGAACTTTTCTTAAACAAATATTAACTCAATGAATCATAGGCCTAAATAAAAGAACTAAACTATAAAGTACTTATTTGAAACATAGTCATAAATTTTATGGCCTTCAGTTAGTTAATGGTTTCTTAGATAAAATTCCAATAATACACGTTACTAAAGAAAAAAGTAGATAAATATGCTTTAATAAACTGGAAAATTTTATACTTCAGTTGGTAAAGTGCTTACTGTGCAAGCATGAGGACCTGAGTTTGGATGCCAAGCAACCCTTGTAAAAAAGTCAGCGAAGGCTTTATTCCAGAGATGCAGGGATGGTTCAATATACACAAGTCAATAAACGTCATAAATCACATAAATGGATGCAAAGACAAAAAAGACCTAGTCATCTCAATAGATGCAGAAAAGGCTTTTGACAAAATTCAGCATGTATTTATGTTCAACATCCT